GTTCCTTGTCTTTGAACCCTCACACAGTCTTCCCTCCAGGACTAGATCCTCACAGCATGATGGTGCCACCACCAGGCTCCATAGAGGGCATTATGGAGGCCAGTAAACCCAGAGACCCTCCTTTAGTCTTTCTGAAAGCAGAGGATCCAGCTTAATTCTGTCTCATTTGATGGCTCTCAGAAAATCTTTAGTTTGATCTTTTGTTCTCTTAATTATTGTGCTTTCAGGACTTCAAATCAACCAGTGTGTCTGTTTTGAAAGGAGAACATTAGGAATAAACTCTTCAGATTTATAGAGCTTTCTTTAGGAAGAAGCCAAACATTAAAGTAAAACACCTGAGTCATAAACCTGTAATTATAAACTGCTGTAAATGTATTTAACCTATTAAAAGGCCACTATCAGAGTGGAGAGCAAAAGTGAAACCTGTTTTCTTTGGAAGGTCAGAAGCTTGCAGGTTTTGCTTGACCTACTTTAATTGAACAGCTCTTCGACACAGAGTCTAACATTCCTGTTCTGTAATCATCTTTCATTATGGAGCTCTGATGCAATAATTACATCTATTTCTGGTGTTTGCTGAGTTTGCTGCGCTGTTTCTGTGGGAGAAGTCTAAAAATGTGTGGAGAAAAAGATATTAACATGAAAAAAGTGAAATAAATGCAGAGTTAGTCTGGACCCTGTCTGTTTAGAATATCACCAACACAGATCCCATTATACATGATAAGAGGATGAGTCCAGGATATTAGGCGATCTAGTGCTTTGCCAAACAGTTTCTGTTCCTTTTTTTACCATTTTGCAATGTTAGAATCAAACTCTTCTTGTTGGGTTCAGAGAAACAAACCAACACAATGAAAATAGAAATCAACTTTTACCCATTTCCACTGAAATGGGTGAGTGCAGAAAAAAGCTGCATTTCTTTAGACTTTGCAGCATTGTGTCTCTCAGCCTCCATGTTTAGGAATGTTCACCTGCTGGAAGGTGAACCTCTGCTTCAGCTTCTAACAGCTTTTTGTTTTTTATACTCTGATCCATGGTTCCATGGATGACATTTCCTGTCTCTACAGACAGGAAACATGGTCAGCCTGATACAGCCATCATGTTCTATTTTCAGGTCACTTGCTTCAGTGTGACGTGCGGCGCTACGCTTCTGAGGGGCAAAGTTTTTCTGGCATTGAGACTCTTTTCCAAGTAGTTCTGAATCCCCTTCATGGATTTAGGATAACTTCACTCAATTTCTTATTAATCTATTTGAAAAACGTCTGACTTCCTGTTTAATAACATCCTGCTAACTGAAATTCCTCCTTTGACTTTGACATCTCTGCACTACAAAAACAATCTAGAAATAAGTATTCGCCATTCACCTTATTTGCCAATGGAATGATGATTTTTACTCTTAAAATAAGGTCATTAAATAATATACACATTAAATAAGACAATGAAATAGTTTTCTTCTTATTTTAAATGTAAATTGTCTTGTTCCATTGGAAAAGTGTCTCAGTTACCTCCTCAATTCCAGAAAAAATGCACTTATTTTAAGAAAAATTGACTTATCTAGATTTCTTTCCAGTGTAGTGTGTTTTTTGGGGTTCATCATGTCATTTGTTGCCTTTTGTTTATTAACAAACCCCTGAGGCCTTCTCTGAGAGACTGCTTCCACAATAAATGACACACAGGGAGACTTTCGGAAGTAAATTAGTCCCCTATGAGTTCCATGAAGCAGAAAACGCAGACAGAATCGCAGAATTTAGCAAATAACATAGAATGTGTTAAAAAAAAACAAGGAATTCACTCTTTTGGGAAAGAACTAAGGTCTTTTGTCCTCTGCCTGTTCGCATATATAGTTAAGCAGGGCAGGGTTTTGTTTCTAAAACGACAAAAAAAAAATAGGTCAGCCATGTCAAAGAGTCACGCAGAAACACCAAAGTCATCCAGAAAGTTAAAAAATGTTAAACTTAACACCAATTGTTATGTTATGTCTAGTGTTATGAATCTGGAGGGCAACTTTTCTGCAATTCTTTTCATCACACGGTCGATTGGAAGATTAAGTTCAACTGTGGCACCCACGCCACATGCGTGAGCCGCATACGGCTGCAGATTCAAATACGTCAGTGGAAGCGAGGCGTGAGTTTATTGAAGATTTTGTTGACATATATGAATCAGACATTCCTTTAGAAAAAATGTGAAAGATTCATCCATTTTTGATAAAGCACTGCAAGCAAGGGGGTGTGCTACAAGGAGACGTTTGCAGCATCCATTAAAACCACCTTACCCGGGTGTTTGATCAGAAAATGGAGGCTGTCCAGAAGAAATTGCAAGGAAAAAATAATATGGTGTGGTCGACGAAACAACCGATGCTCGAGATTACAGCGTTCTGAACATTGCTGGTAAATAATTTTAGCACACCACAATGAAAGAAGTTATTTAAGATATTGTTTTTGAATGTGAATGTCTTAGCATGTCTTATACTATTTCAATATATTTGTTAGTAATGTTAAAAATAATGTTAAAAAGGGAAAAAGTGGAATTTGGGGAAAAAACTAAACGGAACTTGTGGAAAAAACTAAATGGATTTCATGGGACCCTTATAAATGATTCTGATAAAATACACAGACAAAATGAGAAAAGGTCATAAACTCTCTGCAGGGTGCTTAAAGTCTCACCTGGCAGAGGAACCGATGAGAAGCTGGAGGTGAGCGCCTGGCGCAGAGTCTCCAGGTGCTGATGCAGGAGCCCGTTGCGTTCTCTCTCTTGCATCACGTCGCCCTCCAGCCGCTCCACCGCCCCTCGCATGCTCTCCACGTGCTTCTGCAAGGCTGCGTTGCGCTCCTCGTACTCCATGTTGGTCTTGCGCAGCTGGCGCATCTCAGCTTCTCGTGCTAAAGGGGAAAAACGGCGTTCAAACAAACAGAGAGGTTGGCGTTCTGCTCTCTTATTCTGATCAGAGAGTCTCATGAGGTTCAGCCTTCTCACCTTTGCTGTGGTTGAGAAACTCTTCTGTGAAGATTGGTATGTCAAACACAGTCCTGTCCTTTCCCTCTGCGTCTTTCTGTTTGCAGGCAGAGACATGGGAAAAGGGGGGGATTAGCCAAACGCTGTAACAGACTGTCATTTATCTTACTAGGTCCTGTGTGGGCTGGTAATTGATTTTATATCTGGCCAAGAGACATATACAGAAATCCAGTTTCATGAAATGCGGGGATGGAAGTAATTTCATCATTGGTGCATCTCAGATATGGAAGCTTGGCAATAAATCTGCACTAAAAACAGCCGTCGAAATAGAGACACATGACACAATGGAGCTCTGACTGCAGCAAAGCTCCATCGTTCTTCATTTCCCAACATAATGACATCCATGCTGAATCCCCAGCTTCTGCTAATCTAAGGGGAAGGAGAGCGGCGCCTTTTTCCCACAGCAGCGCTCCTTCCAGTTAAGTCACCTTGGCTGCAACCCTCCACCAGGTTCTGAGAGAACTACAGAGAAAGCCTCTTAATTACAGACAGAACTTAATAAAAATGAATTGCAAAGTAAGTAGAAGCTAAGCGTTCGGATCATAAACGCGGCTGTAAAGAGGATTAACCCGGCTTCAGTCATGCAACAATGAGCAGTAAATGTTTAGAGCTGAAGGGCCAACAGCACTTCCAGCTTCTCCAGGGAGAAAATACCACAAAACATACAAAGATAACACAAAAATAGAATTGATCAAATAAACCAACTCTTCATTATTATAGACGTGCATTAACCTTCTGCTTCTTTCATTTAACATGTTTTTTTTTTTTTTCCCTCCCCTGTTTTTTCTCAAAAGGTTTAACCCCAAATGATCTCTGACACCCCAGATGTGACAAAGTCCGAAATGTCATTCAGGGATCCTCCTCAGTGGGACCAGAAAGAAGCTCAGGTTCTGGTTGGAGGAGCTGCTGCTCAGCTTTAAGTGTTAATTTTTGCAAAAAGAGAAACATTTGTTCCTCCTGTAGAGATAATCCAGAGTCGGGTTTTCTCAGCTTTACTTTTTAAACAGGTTTCCTGGCAGAGCTCACATTGCTTTGCACCGTAACAAGGCTCCCAAAGCATCACTAATCCTCCACCATGCTCAATGAAGGGCTGTGAAGCAGCTTTTTTTTTTTTTTTCAGGACAGCTTTAGTATAAGAAAAAATAAAAATCATGAAAACAATCTTTCACTCTTGATTTCCTCCTCCTTAGTCACTAAAACACATTTCATCGCACTTTTACAATATTTAGACCTTTAAACCCAAATCAGAGATTAATGAGTCATGAGTTATTTTGCTTAATACTAAAATCCCAATTATTTTGTAACTATTTGTAACTACTATTCCAACTATTGAGCTTTAAGCAAACAGCGGTTTCAACATTTAAAGGATAAAGATCTGCTTATTTTTATTGAAAAAAAATATATATTTTTTTTTAGTAAAAGGTCATATAATTAGAATAAATACATATATCTATATGTATATAAGGGTTTAGTGCATCAGATTAGAGATAAGTAGAAACCTATAAATCAATCAAGTTAGTCAGCTTTGAATAAATAAGAACTTTAAATTTATAGTGGAGGACTTTTGCAAATTCTTTTTCTTTTAAAACAAATGCACATGCACAACCCCGTACCTGAGGGTTTAATAGAGGGAACGTGCATTAAACCCATGCAAGAGCGTGCACGAGTCCATTTCTCCTCGTGCACGCTTTGTTTAAAAGTTGCTGTTTGCATCGCTCATACAAGCTTACTTTCCAAAAAAAGATTCACATTTTTTCCAATATATCAGACTCACCGCCGGTAAGTGAAAATGGGGACAAGCACGTAGGACGGCCTTATGTAAAGATATAACCACAATGATTAACAATTTGGAGGACCACTTATTTTGATGATCCACCCAGAAAAAGATCATCCTCCACTATACCTTTAAGTTTCCTAATCACTTCCAATTTTCCAAGTGCTGTAAACCTCCTCTATCCATTCACCAGGACCACATGATCTACTGTCCTCAACTGAATCATGGTGTTTCTCAGGTTTAGCTAAAACCTGTTTTTTGCAACTTAATGCAGAAAGTTGCCATGATGTATTTATCTACAGAAGGCAAACACCAAGCATGTCTTAGTCTAGTTCTAAAGGAGAACAATAAAGGCCTTCTCATTTGGCAGTCATAGACTCATCAGCCCAAAGACTGAAACTGACTTATGAAGAAAATCATAAACATACCACAGCATCTGCATTGGCTGATCTAGTCTCCGCCCCTTTTCTATAGCTGTGGATGTCTGTGCTGAGGATGAAAACTGCTACAGCGACACACTTCCACTTGTTTCATTGACACTTTTGGAAAGCAAACAGCCTTCTTCCTTTTTGGGAAAGTAAGGCCTAAAACAATAGAGGGGAAAGGCAGAAAGGAAAACTGGATTTTCTGCATCCGTGAAGCTGCAGGGAGGGTCGCATGTAGTTGAATCATTTTCACGCAAATCTTTCAACTTTGCAGCTAAACATGTCAAACCCTCTGAATAAAACCATTTCTCTTCCATGACCTAATAGGTTTGTGTAACATATCAGATCCCTAAGTGAACTACAAGAGGGGCTCTTCCCCTAATGAAACGTGATAGTCACCACTTATAAAAGGCAATTTCAAGTGTTACCAGCGGGCAGGAAGGACTCACTGACCTCATGAAGAGCCTCACTGGCGACTTGGTGCCCAACATCTGGAGAGGAAGGAAAGAATAAAGGAAGAGGACATCAGAAATGAGTCAGACTTTCTGGGGTGCAGCCTGTCATCAGCTCATAATACACAAGTTACGAAAACATAAGAGTCGATAAAAACGTCCAATTGTTCTATCAATCAGCTCAAATGAGGAAAAACTTCAGCCTCCTTGGAATGGTCCCTCCTTGTTTTTATTTTATTATTCTTTCACGGGCAGAGGTTTTATCCACTTTATGGGAACATAAAGTTTCAAAATAATGAGCAGACGCAGAATATGGCCAAATAATGGAGTGTTTCATTGGAGTCATTTGACAGCTGATTAATATGACGTGTAGCTATTATTCAAGACGTAAACTATGTTGGTTTTAATAAAGTTTCTGCTTTAGTTTGAAGAGCGAAAATGTTTTCAGGAAACCAAAACCAATCAGTCCAGACAGGAAAACAGCTGCAGTGTTCATATTTCCCTTATTTTAACCTTCCATCTGTTCTGATCTTTTAACCAAACACACTATCTAGGTGTGTAGAAAGTAATTCATGAGTGCTAAAGCCCCAGCTGATGACTCAGTGATTTCATTTCAGTGTCTTGGTTAAATGATTGATTAAGGTCCAGTAAAAGATGAACCCACCCATTTCTGGCTGCTCCCTCCATCACTCACTCTTATTACAAATTCAAGTTCATGTGAGTCATCCTGTCTGGACAGGGCAGCTCGGCAAACAATGACTGGTTCCTCCAAACGTCTACAGACACAGGAAGTTTCTCACTCGGACACGTTTCTACCAGGACGTCCCAAAAAGGGAAAGTCTTCTTGCAGCCCGGCGTCCTTCCTGACCACATCTCACCTCCCCTGTGCCTCTTGCCCTTCTGCTTCTCCTGGACCTTCCTGGTGAAATGTTTGTAGGCCTCCGTTTTCTGGTACTTCTCCAGCTCTCGCATGTAGCGCTCCTTATCCCGCTCCGCTTCATCCAAATATCGCTGCAGAGAGAGAGAGAAGACTTAAAGGTGAGAGAGGAGGAAAATGAGATTTGGCAAAATTGAGATAGGGGTTAATTATTGCTCATCAAGATTTCCTTTGGAAGATAAAACTCTGAACTCTCCACTGTTGGTTATCCACATCCTTCATTTCCCTAAACAGAGACCTTTACTTCAATATCATTTATAAAGAAATTCATTCAACTATGGCTGGGCGATATGGCCTAAAATAAAATCTCTGATTTATTTATTTTTAATTAGAATTACGATTCTTTTCCGATTTTCCCCCCAACCTCTAAACCTCCACATGATCCCCTGCCACCCGTTGTGCATATTTACACTAAAAACACCAGTTAAACTATTAACATTAAAGATCTGTTATAAACCCTTAGAAATCATAGATTCTGTACAACTCAAAAACTAAGTTTTTTTTTTTGTGGACACCATGAGCACAAATAATGAAGATATAGCAGCGTATTAAATCAACATTTTTTAAAATAAAGCTTCGACTTTTGAATCTTAGATTGTTTATATTCCATTTGTCCGTAAGGGTCCACAGATAAAACAAATTCAGCATTGTAAGGAAGAAATTCCAAGATGAGAAAATTGCCACATAAAATCTTTTTTTTTAACCATCAGAAAAGTCCCATCCTTATAGCTAATGCTAACAGTTTTGCTAATGACCCCAGCTTCCACAAACATTTCTGGTTGATGTTTGGTACGTTTGTTTTCATCACCTTCCAGCCTAGGCTTCTAGCTGAGGTTTGTTGGTTTGTTCGTCTCAGAGAGACTGGCATTTATCATATTCCTCTGAATGTCACTGTTTAAATGGCTGAAAAAGGTTTGTGATGCTGCTTCCTTTAACTGCGACTGTCTTTAGGTAAATGTGGCAGCGTGCGGTTTCTTGGGGTTTCCAAACCAGTTCCAAACGCTGGATGATTCTATTCCTTTTTTCAGGACTAACTAACTTCCATTCGGATGGGTAGCCATGATGTTACTTGCCGAACTGCACTGTGGGAGTAATACTCCACCTATGGAAGCCCTGGGGAGCCAAAATTGTGGCGTTATACAAAAAAAAAAGTATTTTCTTTTTTTTCTTTTTTAAAATCACCTGCAACAAAAAATTCAAATTCATTGCATCGATTTTTCGCCCAGGCATCGAAATGTATCTTCTTAACCGAAAAGCCTATATCTTCCACACAGGCTGATCAGATTGAACTTTATAAACTTTATAAGAGATGCAGATGCGTCTCAGTGCCGATGAGAAGCTTAATGCAGCTAAAAGTGAGGCGAGCCTTTGCAGGCAACTCAACAGGTTGGTGGTTCACCGTCCAACAGAACAGGGACTGCTGGAGGAAATGCTGGAACGACCTAGACAAAGTTAAGACTGCAACACAACTGGAAATCAACGGTGATGAAATGCATATATATACCTAACTTCATTCCTGTGTTGTAGACGTTTTATGCAGGTTTTTATAAAACAGATGGGAACCACGTGGGAAGCTCTAAAGCAGCTTTTGCAACCTTCAAAATCCAAAAACCCTGAACGTAGCTGAATAAAAGCACATTAGAGATAACAGGACATTTTGATAAAAGACAGCCCATTTCTGTGAAATATCTCTTAAAAACGAACTGTGTTTTGGTACCAGAACCAAAAGTGAATTTGTATTTTTGGGTTTTAGAATAAAGAAAAGCATCTTTTCCATAAACAGGAAACATTGATTTTCTGGATGTTTATTTGTGGAAGATTATTTAAAACTAAACACACAAATATAATTGTTCTTTTGTCATTTTATTTTGTTGTGAAAATAAAATTTCATTCCACTTTCAAAAATGGTTGAAGCCTCTAAAACTGGCCTCTGTTATTTTAGCCATTGCAGGAGGTCCAAATAGCCCCTCATGACTCGAGCCGCAGCTTACAGACCTCTGCTCTATTACCTGCAATGTGTCAAACTGCGTTAACCTGGAAGGGAGAGAAATAAGGTTTTGTGAAGAAAGGATTTCCCTCTGCTAATAATAATAATAATCTCTTTTGCCACATTTACACTACCCCATGAGACCGATCTGTGTCGAGGACGGACCGAGCATGGATCAGTTATCTGTGCCCAGCTTGGTTCTTACGACCATTTTCACATCACAGCAGCACGGTTCCTCGCCTCCTATCAGCTGTCCAGAATACTACAGTTCTCAAAGACGGGAATTACGCAAAGAAAAATCTATGTGCCTGGATAGCGTCCTCAGCCCAAATTTCAATGAGAGCCGCGGTCTCAGTATCATCCCAGGTCACACCACTCTCTTTTGATGCCATTTATTGTTAATAGGCTGAGAAGCAGTTCGTGTTGTGAACAGGTGAAGAGATCTGTGAATTATAAAGCTGGACACACCAGAAAACCAGCAAAATGAGTCAGCTGACTGTAAACAGGAGATGACGCGGTGTACTCATGCTCTCTTTGTTATCAGAGAGCCGAGCCCTACTGTTGAAACTAGTACTAGATTTAGTGGTGTTTGGTTGTGTCTGGCACGGTCCAGTTCAGTTGCGTTCCATTTACACTCGACAGTTATCTCGGTAACCATGCTCTGACCTTTATCGACATGGTTTCAAAATAGTAGTGTAAATGGGGCTTTTTGGTTTCTGATGGTGTTTTTTGTGACAGTCTAAACGGTTAGCACACTGCGCTCGTTTACGTCTCCCTCTCTGGGCACCACCGCAGCAGGAAAAGACAGCCAACACAAACAGCACATCTCAGACATTTCTCTTCACACTTGTAAGCTCTGAGCTGGAAACGTCTCATCTGACCTGCTTCTCCTCCGGGGGCAGCTTGCTCCACTCATTGCCCAGCATCCTGGTGATCTCTGGGAAGGGCACGTCGGGACGCTCCGCCCGCAGCTGCTCCCGCCTGTCGTTCATGAAGCGAACGTAGCCCGTCAGGGGAGCTTTAGGTGCGTTGCTGTCCTTCATAGGCTTCTTCCTCTTCCTCCCTTTGGTCCAGCTGCCACGCCGAGGCTTCTGCAGAAACAACAATAAAAAGAGATGTGACTGGGTGGTGCAGGTAGCAGCGTGTCTGTGATTTGCACCGGTGGACCTTTCATGGAGTTTCCTTTGGAAAAAGTGAAAAATACGTCATTTGATATTTGTTAACCTCTTACCTCATCGCCATTTCTCTGGCTGCTGTTGTCAGTGTTGGCTGCAGGAGAGCCCGTCTGCTCATCCATCACTTTTTATGAACATGAGGGAGAAAAAGAAATGAATATGAATAGAGGGGAAAAAAACCCTAAGATCTAGAGATTGATTAAGTATTTATGTAATGATCTGAAAAGGTGGGGCTTTATTTGGACCCACCAAATGGGACGCGCTCTGCTGCCTAAAAATGGGTCGACTACTGAGAGACTCTGGGCCTTTTTCTAATACATAGAAGCACTGAACAGTAATGCCAGGAAATAGACTGCTCCTTTTACAGCTGGAGCTACTTTTCCTCCAAACTCCTCCCGGTCTTGGCTCAAAAACGACCTTCTGGCTGACCATGTTTCCTCTAATAGAAAAGTTTGGCTGCTATCAATCATTAACGAAGAAGTGAAGAAAAAGAAAACCGCATTCACTGTAAACGCTAAAGCAGTCATATCTACACAGGGATCGTGTCGCAAAGGAAATCTAGGATGATGTTGAAATCAGGATCGTACTTTCCGACTCAAAGAGAAATAAAAAGCCTGCTCCCTGTGGGACATTATATTAACTCCTAGCAGCAATTAAAAAAAAAAACACACCAAACTTCTTAGTAAGACCAACAGTAGTCTCTGTGTGCCCTGACACCAGGTGGGAAACCCCACGCAGCTAAGAAGTAAATAAAGTCTTACAACCGTATGAACTAAGAGATGTTATATCTCAGAAAAAAATGGGTTTAATTCAGTGAGACTGATGGAATTAACCAGAAAAACATCTTTGTTTTCAGCTGAAGGCTGCCAGAGCTTTGCTACAAGGATAATTGCTAAAGGGACTGTTGAACTGTTTAACCTCTAACCAAGCCACAGATCAAGTTTCTGCATCACACTTGTAAACATCATATTCGCACTACATGGGGAATTTTCAAATCCCTTTAAATAGAACTGTTTCTACTGCATTTTGCACCCTATTCTTCTTATCAGTGCTAAACTTTATGAATAGAAATGTTAATTTCACTGCTGTAAGCTGCTCATTCGCTGTTGAAAAGCTGTATGCATTGAAATTTCGATTTGTATTCACTCTGTGCATACAAAATGACAATAAAGTTTGTCTAAGTCTAGGCTTGCTACCAGGATTGAACTCCCTGCAGGTCATCTGATAACTGAGCAGCACTGCCCTCTGCTGGGGAAAACCTAGAAGGAACCATCAAACAGAGCCAGCTTAGAGGTGAGTCAACATTTTATTAGTAAAGACCAGGGTTTGTTATCACACCTTTTTGCCCTTGGAATGGTTGTTTTGGGATGTAAACATCCTATATCAATATTTGATTTATCAGATATTAAATAATATTATCATATATCAAAAAAGACTATCTGCATTGAAGTAATAGACTTCAAGAAACTATTATCAAAAAAATCTGTAGGCTGTGTTACAGTAGTCAATTTTTTTTTTTGTAATAGAACAGGTCAGAGACAGAGGGGTGAGTTTAGAAATGGTTAAAAATTATTTATTTGAACCAATGAAACTAAGCAGCATTATTATAAGCTTTTAATAAGGCCACCAAAAATACTGAGAACAGAAGTGTTGACTAACATCAGCTAGAGGAAAATCACAATGTTATCAACAAAACAAAGGTCTGTTTGCTGTCAATACAGAACTAACACTTCTCAGTAGCGTGACCAATAAAAACTGCTAAAATATGTATTATTTTCAAAGATTTTTGTGCATTCTAAAAATGACCCCTGCAGTATAGTCAGACTGTCAATTCAAAAGCATAATATAAGGAGTAAGAAACAACCAGGTTTTATTGACAATCAAAGAACCTGTTTATCGTTTTAACGTCGCTCACAGAAATCATTTAAAGTCTAAACAACAACCTCAGTATTTAAAAATGTTTTCCAGGTGTAAACTGATAAGTAGCTTATTTTTTTTGTTTAAGGTATTATTATAAAAATAGGCTTAAAACTCTTTTCTAACAATTTGTGGGATACCATAGAGTTCAGTTAGTGAGTCATGAGGCACACAAGATACAAAAAAACCTAACAGTTATAATAATGTAATAATGAATATAATAATTGGGTGGCTCCTAAGTCATTGCAAAAAACAGAAATGTAAAATAAACACATTTTTATGCATGTGGCAAGATTCTAATAAAAATACAAAACAAAAAATAAATAAAGGAAGAATGGCTGTAGATACTAGTGAAAAGGATGTTAAAGGAGGACAGTATAGTACCAAAAAACATTATTTTAATGCTCCGTGATACCAGTTTCCCCATACAAAATCATTTATGTTTCACACAAAAATAAAATAAATCATAGTAGCTTCTGATCAAATCACTCTTGAAAACCTGAACAGTGCACATTTAAAGTACTATCAACAAGTTATTTTGTTTAGTGTCCAGTTTAAAAAGAAGAAATAAAATTGTTAAAACTGTGAATCAGATGATTGTGCCTTTTTGTCATCAGGTTTAGCAAAAAGCCATTGATTTTATTAGGGTTTTCTGGAGCAGGGATGTATCTAAAAGTAGGATAGTAACTTTTAAAGACAGAAGTGGAAAAATTAGCTGCTTACAACATATTTAATTAGTGTATTTTGATAAAATATTTGAGATAAGACATTTGGTAACAAAAATCCAAAACAACCGAATGTTGAAATTCATACAATAAAAACACAGATATGCATCTTATCTAAGTTTGTACAGAAATACCTCACCTCTGCTATTATAATAATTTGCTGGGCTTGTTTCTCTATAGACTCGCAGACGAAAAGTAATGTTTAGATTAAGGTAAAAAAAAAAATTGTGTAAATTTAACTTTCCCCGTTCCGAAATTCACAAAAAAGACACCTGAATGTCAATAAAACATAAAGAGATTAGATTTCAGATAGATGTTAGCAGCTAGCATCACCTCCTGCAGTGATGCTAACGCTGTCACACAGCTATTAACAGCTATTAACAATTTAATACTTTGGAGTCCCAGTTTTTCCGTTATATGTTTCTTAAGCCATATCATGTCATAAAAAACGGTCTATTTAACACTACAGAAATAAATATAACTGTAACAATAAACCAAACTGCTGAGCTAATGGCTAATTTAGCATCTAGCTAGCATTAGCGCTAAGTTGGCAAGCTGCTGACGAAACACGGGTACAGGAATAGTTGTTTTGGCTCCTTTATATAGAGCTGTTTAACATGCATAGAAGACATTATTTTCATAGATATAGTGATACCCAAGTGTTGAGAACTAACCTTGGTAAAAAGTGATCCGAAGCTGTAGCAGGGACGTATCAACCAAAACAATACAGCAGCTACACCATAGAACCACAGGAGATAGAAACGGTGTTGATTAATGTCTTACTATAACCCAGCTAATCTCAGCTAAATTATTTGAAAAATGGGTGATATTTTAAACTGGTAAAAATGATACTAGATACGAAACGTATATTAGTGATGTAACCTAAAAAATATATATATACGGTAGTTACAAAAACTATCTTTTAAATTCTGGTTTATTTTCTATATTTTCTAGTTCTGTGACTGATCGTTCTTCGTCGAGGGTGTATTTCCAGAAGCTTTGTCCACCTCTGGTTCTCTGCTGCCCCCTGGCGTTCATTACGTTTTAACACAGCGCAGCAACAGTTTTCAGTGACCTTTGTCGGAGTTTGATGCACAGAGGAGATTCTAGGATCAGAGATTTTAGGTTGCTGAGGATCCAGAGAGCCCTCTGCCCTGGCAGGATATGTTTCAGGCTGTTCTACATACATTTTCTACATTTTTGAAACTTTCTCAGTGCTACTGACTCCAATATCCACTAACCAAAGCAAAAGGGAACTTTTTTTTTTTTTTAAAGAAGAGTATTCATTGAAAGCTTTTTGACAGTTCTCATGAAAGCCTCTTTTTTGTTTGTTGTTTTTTGTTTGCTAAACTGAGTGAGTGGGAACTAGAGCAGTTCCAAATGTTCAGGACCAGTAGTCTTATTCCCTAAATTAGGGGTCTTCAACGTTTTCCAGGCCAAGGACCCCCAAAATGATGGCAAGATGGAGCAGGGACCCCATAATTTTATATATATTGTATGAAATTGTGTTATATCAAACTGGCTCGATAGTCACTCTTTTACAGAGGGAGTCATGAAACGAAAGTAATTTCTCCCTGGGATTATTAAAGTATTTCTGACTCTGATTCCCCGTTGATGGGACAGGTGTTGTGAATGAAACGGTGCCCAGCTTGAAAGAGCTCCTGTATGTTGCTGAATGTGTGCATTGATGACTGGAAGACATTTTCTGCCTCCATGTATCTGTTTACTACATTGTGTTGAATTCATGTTAATGTGTATTTAAAGACATTTCAATTAGTGGAAAAAAATGCAGGAATATAAAAAACAGTCTACCAAATCTACTAAATCAACCAAAACTTTCACGACCCCCATGCAATACCTCCATGGACCCCCTAGGGAATGCGGACCCCCTGTTGAAGACCTCTGCCCTAAACCAAAAGGCAGATTTTGAGATCCTTTGGCTTGATGGGCGGTCTACTGCTCCCTCTGTCTCCTCTTCTTCTCTTTCCCTGCTCTAATCTCTCTCATCTACCTGTTGTTCTTCTCCTATACTGAAATTAACCAAGTAGTAAAGCATATTGGATGCTCCCTGGACTCAGTTCAGGAGGTGGTAAGCAAAAGGACTCTAATTACAATAGAATCTCTGTTGGATAATGTCTCTCACCCCATCCATGAAGCAGTTTCAGAACTGGAGAGCTCCTTCAGTGACAAACTGCTGCACCCTAAATGCACCAGGGAGCGTTATCACAGATCCTTCCTCCCAATAGTTGTAAGACTCTATAACCACCACTGTTCCCAACAATAAGTTGTTAAATTCATGCACATTTTTGCACATTTTCTGTCTTAGTCAATTAAATAACATGTAGCTTTCAGTTTTTGCACATCTCTGGTGTTGCTGCTGTTTCACATATCCATTAATGTATAAATGTCAGCAGCTGTTATTGATTATTTATTCTCTAGATACAGACTATTATTTTGCAAAACAGTACAGTACAGTATTCTATTTATTTTATTTTCTTATCTGTTCTTTTTATACCCTTTTCTAAGGTGGACATTGTGTGACCACTTCTAACCTATTGCTTCTTTAAACACCACAATTCCCCCATTGTGGGGCAATAAAGGGATTTTCTATTCTATTCTATTCTATTCTATTCTATTCTATTCTATTCTATTCTATTCTATTCTATTCTATTCTATTCTATATTATGTGTATGGGTGCTTCTGGAAAGCATTTAATATAAGACTATCACATAACTTCCATAATAAATGTGAAATTACCTACTCAATGGAAGCCTTCTTTGTCAGCTTAACGGCTGCTGTTTTAGCTGCCACTATTCTGTTTGTTTTCTTACCTATTTGGTCCTAAGCTTTGCACTTTCCACACAGCTTCTCCTTTCCTTTCATTTTCAGGTGTTCTTTCATGTATAAAATACCAATATATGAACTAAGTTTCTTTAGACTTCCTGTAACTTTTATGTTAATGAATATCATCACAGCTCCTGGTAAATTGATTCAATCCAAATCACATCTGCAATCTGAAAATTTAGAAGGTTAATGATAAATAACAGCCTAATCATTTGGGTATTCCTGGACATTTTTGCTCTATTGAGCTTTAGCTGTCTCTGAATAAAAACCCACAGCATAGTGCACATAATCAATAAACTCTGGAATATTAAAATCTACTTACTTAAGACTGACTTTAAAAAATTGAATGAGTAAAATGAAGTTACTGAAGCAGTAAGATAACTATCAGTAGTTTAAGTTAATAAAAATAAAATTGTTAAAAAACCTACATGCAACCAGCCTACTGAAAGATGAGAAGCACAACAAAAATGAAATAACCCTAATCTTGTTTATTAGGGCTGCCTCCACCATCAACCAGCAAACATCTGTGCGCATTTTACACATTTGTCAGCCTCTGCCTGATGGGCTTTTCTCTTTTTAATCATTATTTTCCCATCGCCTCCTTTTCCTTTCTTGTCTCTCTTCTTGATAGTCTGCTCCTCTCTCTGTGTTGATTGATTGGCAGCTGTGGCCCCAGAGGGAGTGGCCCCTCGGCTGCCCTGACTGGTACAACCCGGAATCAGTTAACTACCAATTTTTGTGCAGCAATAACCATAGTGAAAAAACAAAACAAAAAAAAAAACAGAAAAATAATCTGGCTCAAAATCACAATCGGCTCATCAGGCAAAGTGCCAATCTTTGGATTAAGAACATAGTTTGTTTGTTTTTTTTCCACACTGAGCTCAGAGAAAGGCTAAAACGTGAATTTAAAATGAACACATCACATATCAAGAGTCAGGTGGGAATAAGATAGCTGAAGCTGGATCCTAATTAAATCTTTCATTGCAATCTCATACCAATTATCCCGAGTTAATCCAACGAGGTTCCCAGGCTCATTACACACAGGTTGGCCACATCAGGCTGCCTCTTGTAGATTAGCTAATGAAGTCACTAACCAAACAGAGGCAGACAGTTGTTAACTGATAATGGTGCACATCTAGAAAGTAATCCAAACAGTGGCTGGGGACATGAATGATCTAAATCCATGAATAGAAATCACTTTCAACCATTCCTGATGTTTTTCCAGCCTCCATTTCATTACACTGCAGATTAACACTCTGGAGAAACAGGTTGAGATAACAGTAGAGTGTTGCTGATTCTGCACTGCAAGTCAGAACTTTACATATAATTATCGTCAGGATGACATTTATTAAGTGATTTACATAATGCATTTATAACAGTGGGGATTTATCATTGAATACTAAGAAGGCTAAATGTCCCCTGTAAATTACGTCAAATTTTTGGTAAAATAGACATTGTCAAACTTCAGAAATGTCATGATTAAACTGCAATAAATATGCACTAAAATGCGCCTGATTTCTTGAGTATGTTGAACATTAATCAGCTGGTTATTCTGTTCTAAGACACCATCTCCCCTCAGCTCTGGAGCAGCAGGATGCCGCCTGTCAGCCTCCATGGCTGTGTCCAAATGTCCGTCCTAATCTATAGGGCACTATATAGTGGTAACGCTATTTTAAATTAGTGTCCAAGTCTCTAGTGGATGAAAAAGTAGTGGACTCAAAATTTCCCACAATGCACCTTGAATGCACAAAGCACCCATAGGCTGTCGCTACCTGACAGCATCGATAAATAACAAAGATGGTGCAGACACCGTGCAGAGAGTTGGAGTCCCGTGATTACCGGGGAACAAAAAGTCTGAACGGTCAATTAACTGAGTTCACTATAAAATCCACTATATTTTTATATTCTTTTTTGTTTCTGCATTTTTTTTATTTGATTTTATTTATTTTTTTCCCTACTTGCTTTGATTCTGTCTTATGGTCTGGTCACTAGCTGAGTAGATACGTACATCCTGGAATACTCTCCTCAAAAAGCATTATGGGATCTGCTGTCACAGCGGCCTTCTGTCTCCTACAGCTGTCGCTACCCTACTGTGGCGACTAATAACAAAGATGGCACAGGCACTGTGTGGTGGAGGAAGAGTTACGTGACCTACGGGGAGCGAAAAGTAGTGATCATCTGTCCGAACCGTCAGTTAGCTGAGTTCACTATAAAGTCCACTATATAGTCCCTGCTCTATATAGTGATTGAGGGATTTAAGGGTTAGGGCGGACTTTCGGACATAAACTAAACCTCTTAGGGGGTCTATGGAGCAGAGGCTGGTCATGAAGCTGGCTGCGAGATGCAGATTGGTTAATATGCCTAAGGATTGTTGACTGACATTAGCCAGACAACAAGGAGATTTTCCACATGAGTTAAGAGGTTAAAGTGATCATTTAGTCAGTTTGTCTGGAGTTTAGTATTTCCGAGCGCTTCGCAATAGCTATTCTCACTTGTTGTAGTAATGTGTTTTAGGTGTTTCAACATTTATTAATGCAATACATAACATTTGGTTTTTATTTAGCTTCACTGAGCCTCTGCTGTTTCAGAGAGCAGCTACTGCCACTGGTTTAAACTAGTCTTTTTTCCAGGGTGGATTGATTGCTCAACACACATCTACATACAATCTGGAAATAAGGATTGGATGCACAAGTGTGAGTTTATTGCTTTTTTCTGCATAATTATACAAGCAGGCTCCAATAGATAATAACCCCTAAGCAACTGAACCTCAACCTACACACAGTTTGTAGCCATAAGCAAGCTCCTGCTATAATTATTGCTGGAGATTTGCTGGCTCCTTTAGGCAGGATCGGCAAAATTAATTTAAATTGGCTGCTTCCTGCCTGTTAAGCAAAGTGCAATATTTGAATAGAAATGGATGTGAGGCTTTCCAAAAGCTTAATCTGAGGCTATGCAATCTATTTCAAAAGTTAAGCGTGTTTTACAATCCGTCCTCTCTGGGAGTGCTGAACTACATCCATATTTTAAACAGGACCTGCCCCACCTAGAGGAGAGAATATAGGTTAGAGATCTATCTGCAACAGCCCCACAACCACCAGGACCAAACTCACC